ACAGTATGAACACTTACAGGACAGTATGAACACTTACAGGACAGGATAAACATTTACAGGACAGTATGAACACTTACAGGACAGTATGAACACTTACAGGACAGTATGAACACTTACAGGACAGTATGAACACTTACAGGACAGGATAAACATTTACAGGACAGTATGAACACTTACAGGACAGTATGAACACTTACAGGACAGTATGAACACTTACAGGACAGTATGAACACTTACAGGACAGGATAAACATTTACAGGACAGTATGAACACTTACAGGACAGTATGAACACTTACAGGACAGTGTGAACACTTACAGGACAGTATGAACACTTACAGGACAGGATAAACATTTACAGGACTGCATGAACACTTACAGGACAGTATAAACATTTACAGGACAGTATGAACACTTACAGGACAGGATAAACATTTACAGGACAGTATGAACACTTACAGGACAGTATGAACACTTAAAGGACAGAATGAACACTTACAGGACAGTATGAACACTTACAGGACAGTATAAACATTTACAGGACAGTATGAACACTTACAGGACAGTATGAACACTTACAGGACAGGATAAACATTTACAGGACAGTATGAACACTTACAGGACAGTATGAACACCTACAGGACAGTATGAACACTTACAGGACAGTATGAACACTTACAGGACAGTATGAACACTTACAGGACAGTATAAACATTTACAGGACAGTATGAACACTTACAGGACAGTATGAACATTTACAGGACAGTATGAACACTTACAGGACAGTATGAACACTTACAGGACAGGATAAACATTTACAGGACAGTATGAACACTTACAGGACAGTATGAACATTTACAGGACAGGATAAACAATTACAGGACAGTATGAACACTTACAGGAAAGTATGAACACTTACAGGACAGTATGAACACTTACAGGACAGTATGAACACTTACAGGACAGTATGAACACTTACAGGACAGTATGAACACTTACAGGACAGGATAAACATTTACAGGACAGTATGAACACTTACAGGACAGTATGAACACTTACAGGACAGTATGAACACTTACAGGACAGTATGAACACTTACAGGACAGGATAAACATTTACAGGACAGTATGAACACTTACAGGACAGTATGAACACTTACAGGACAGTGTGAACACTTACAGGACAGTATGAACACTTACAGGACAGGATAAACATTTACAGGACTGCATGAACACTTACAGGACAGTATAAACATTTACAGGACAGTATGAACACTTACAGGACAGGATAAACATTTACAGGACAGTATGAACACTTACAGGACAGTATGAACACTTAAAGGACAGTATGAACACTTACAGGACAGTATGAACACTTACAGGACAGTATAAACATTTACAGGACAGTATGAACACTTACAGGACAGTATGAACACTTACAGGACAGGATAAACATTTACAGGACAGTATGAACACTTACAGGACAGTATGAACACCTACAGGACAGTATGAACACTTACAGGACAGTATGAACACTTACAGGACAGTATGAACACTTACAGGACAGTATAAACATTTACAGGACAGTATGAACACTTACAGGACAGTATGGACATTTACAGGACAGTATGAACACTTACAGGACAGTATGAACACTTACAGGACAGGATAAACATTTACAGGACAGTATGAACACTTACAGGACAGTATGAACATTTACAGGACAGGATAAACAATTACAGGACAGTATGAACACTTACAGGAAAGTATGAACACTTACAGGACAGTATGAACACTTACAGGACAGTATGAACATTTACAGGACAGGATAAACATTTACAGGACAGTATGAACACTTACAGGACAGTATGAGAATTTACAGGACAGGATAAACATTTACAGGACAGTATGAACACTTACAGGACAGTATGAACATTTACAGGACAGTATGAACATTTTCAGGACAGTATGAACATTTACAGGACAGTATGAACACTTACAGGACAGTATGAACATTTACAGGACAGAATGAAAATTTACAGAACAGTATGAACACTTACAGGATAGTATGAACATTTACAGGACAGTATGAGTATTTACATGACAGTATGAACACTTACAGGACAGTATAAAGATTTACAGGACAGTATGAACACTTACAGGACAGTATGAACACTTACAGGATAGTATGAACACTTACAGGACAGTATGAGCATTTACATGACAGCATGAACACTTACAGGAGAATATGAACATTTACAGGACAGTAAAAAAATTTACAGGACAATATGAACATTTACAGGACAGTATGAGCATTTACAGGACAGTATGAACACTTACAGGACAGTATGAACACTTACAGGACAGTATGAAAACTCACAGGACAGTATGAACACTTACAGGACAGTATGAACATTTACAGGACAGTATGAACATTTACAGGACAGTATGAACACCTACAGGACAGTATAAACACTTACAGGACAGTATGAACACTTACAGGACAGTATGAACACTTACAGGACAGTATAAACATTTACAGGACAGTATGAACACTTACAGGACAGTATGAACACTTACAGGACAGTATGAACACTTACAGGACAGTATGAACATTTACAGGACAGGATAAACATTTACAGGACAGTATGAACACTTACAGGACAGTATGAACATTTACAGGACAGGATAAACAATTACAGGACAGTATGAACACTTACAGGAAAGTATGAACACTTACAGGACAGTATGAACACTTACAGGACAGTATGAACATTTACAGGACAGGATAAACATTTACAGGACAGTATGAACATTTACAGGACAGTATGAACATTTACAGGACAGGATAAACATTTACAGGACAGTATGAACACTTACAGGACAGTATGAACATTTATAGGACAGTATGAACATTTTCAGGACAGTATGAACATTTACAGGACAGTATGAACACTTACAGGACAGTATGAACATTTACAGGACAGAATGAAAATTTACAGAACAGTATGAACATTTACAGGACAGTATGAACATTTACAGGACAGTATGAGTATTTACATGACAGTATGAACACTTACAGGACAGTATAAAGATTTACAGGACAGTATGAACACTTACAGGACAGTATGAACACTTACAGGATAGTATGAACACTTACAGGACAGTATGAGCATTTACATGACAGCATGAACACTTACAGGAGAATATGAACATTTACAGGACAGTAAAAAAAATTTACAGGACAATATGAACATTTACAGGACAGTATGAGCATTTACAGGACAGTATGAACACTTACAGGACAGTATGAACACTTACAGGACAGTATGAAAACTTACAGGACAGTATGAACACTTACAGGACAGTATGAACATTTACAGGACAGTATGAACATTTACAGGACAGTATGAACACTTACAGGACAGTATGAACACTTACAGGACAGTATGAACACTTACAGGACAGTATGAACATTTACAGGACAGTAGGAACATTTACAGGACAGTATGGGCATTTACAGGACAGAATGAACATTTACAGAACAGTATGAACACTTACAGGACAGTATGAACACTTACAGGACAGTATGAACATTTACAGGACAGTATGAACATTTACAGGACAGTATGAACACTTACAGAACAGTATGAAAACTTACAGAACAGTATGAACACTTACAGAACAGTATGAACACTTACAGGACAGTATGAACACTTACAGAACAGTATGAACACTTACAGGACAATATGAACATTGACAGGACAGTATAAAAATTTACAGGACAGTATGAACATTTACAGGACAGTATGAACATTTACAGGACAGTATGAGCATTTACATGACAGTATGAACACTTACAGGACAGTATAAAGATTTACAGGACAGTATGAACACTTACATGACATTATGAACACTTACAGGACAGTATGAACACTTACAGGACAGTATGAGCATTTACATGACAGTATGAACACTTACAGGAGAATATGAACATTTACAGGACAGTATGAAAACTTACAGGACAGAATGAACATTTACATGACAGTATGAACACTTACAGGACAGTGTGAACATTTACAGGACAGTATGAACATTTACAGGACAATATGAACATTTACAGGACAGTATGAACATTTACAGGATAGTATGAACATTTACAGGACAATATGAACATTTACAGCACATTATGAACATTTACAGGACAATATGAATATTTACAGGACAATATGAACATTTACAGGACAATATGAACATTTACAGGACAATATGAACACTTACAGAACAGTATGAACACTTACAGGACAGTATGAGCATTTTTTACAGGACAGTATGAGCATTTACAAGACAGTATGAACATTTACAGGACAGTATGAACATTTACAGGACAATATGAACATTTACAGGACAGTTTGAACATTTACAGGGCAGTATGAACATTTACAGGACAGTATGAACACTTACAGGACAGTATGAACACTTACAGGACAGTATGAACACTTACAGGACAGTATGAACACTTACAGGATAGTATGAACACTTACAGGACAGTATGAACACTTACAGGACAGTATGAACATTTACAGGACAGGATAAACATTTACAGGACAGTATGAACACTTACAGGAAAGTATGAACACTTACAGGACAGTATGAACACTTACAGGACAGTATGAACACTTACAGGACAGTATGAACACTTACAGGATAGTATGAACACTTACAGGACAGTATGAACACTTACAGGATAGTATGAACACTTACAGGACAGTATGAACACTTACAGGATAGTATGAACACTTACAGGAAAGTATGAACACTTACAGGACAGTATGAACACTTACAGGACAGTATGAACATTTACAGGACAGTATGAACACTTACAGGACAGTATGAACACTTACAGGACAGTATGAACATTTACAGGACAGTATGAACACTTACAGGACAGTATGAACACTTACAGGACAATATTAACACACAGACACACTGCATGTACTCACGTCGGGGCATTGGCCGAGGCTGTGTGCTGGTCTCCAGGTCAGTGATTTCATTGGCCGAGTTGTCGATGGACCGTTTGGCCAGCCGTTGTTCCATGGTATCCACATATTTGGTCAAGTTAGCCACGGCGCCAGTGATCCTGTTCAACTGCCGAGACAGCTTGGCTTGGTCCTTCTGCGTGGAGTTCATGTCCTCCAGCATAGACGCCATGTTGGTGGTCATGATCCGCAATGCGTTCTTGGTTTCAGCAACATCCCCGCTCAATCGAAGGAGGGCATCCCTCATTCTCTGAGCTTCCGACTCTTTTTTATCGTTTAAAGTCGGTAGCAGGTAGACATCTTTAAATTCCTTGAGTTTTAAATCAATTAATGTGTCGACTTCGGCCATGTATCTTTGGACACACTTACATCCTCTCCGTTTCTTTCTTGACTTGCCAAGTCCTGACGCGTTGGGATCTTCCGTCGTCGTGTCATTCTCAACAGCCAGACAAACACACAGACAGGCTAGAAAGAAGTAGTTGACGATCTTACGGACTCCACAATTCATGATGTTACCTCTCTCTTGTGTTTTGAGAAAGAGAAATATCCTTTCGGAAGATGTAAACTACACATTAAAATGTAGATATAAATTCACGTCTTTATTCCAGTATTTTGAAATTAGCACAAACATATCCCGAACCGTTGCTATAAATTAGTTGATGAAGTAAAAACCCGTTTATAATAACGGTTATTGACTCGTGTTGTGTGTGTGTGGACGTCACACTGGGGTAAAGTTGAAGGTTAAATCACGTTTGCTAGAAAAATCGTGCGTGAGTAAACGTGACATGGGGGGAGAAGTTCAAGGCTAGGTCACGTTTGCTACCGAATCGTATGTGAGTCACTCGACTCGAAACGAGTAAAACACTCACAGCCAAATTGGAACATCAAAGGCACGGATGAAGCCTTGGTAAAAATCTGTAAAATAGAAATCACAGTTTCATTATTATAATATTATTAATACGAAATCAATAACAATTTTCAGAGCCTTTGTAGAAACTATTTGCGAGTTCAACTTGTCCCCCATTCCTCAAACATACATATGTTCTCTTTTAAGCTCTTGCTTATACATTTCATACTATTTCGATTACATTATTAAATCCATGTGTTTTTCAGCAGATTATTATTATTATTAACCACTTAAAGAAGGGTTATGTTGCTTTAAGGCACCCCTACCTGAAATTGTGTAACAAGACAGAGCTCCAGCCTCACCCCCCCCCCCCCGCCCCCCCCCCCCAATCCCCCACCCCGCCTAATGTTTTCTGTGTTTCGGCGAAGAGATCCGCCTTCATGTGCGTGACCTGGAACCAACAGTGACGATCATAGCTCTGTTACAGAGCCCTAATGAAATCGATGTTGCTTATATCGACACCAACAATCAGCAGCTGCTTTACAGAACGTCGCTCTCTTCACTTCACCTGAAAGTCTCTATTTCCCCAGCCAATTCTCTGTGTGCTTTAAAAGCTAATACATCTTCAGTGTCATGTATCCACTCTGGCAGAGGTAGACCTCTCGTGCTCCATCACAGTTGTCCCCAGCTCACCATGGCTCGTGCCTGACGTGTCCAAAATACCTCAGATTTTTTTTTTTTGGGGGGGGGGGGGGATATTTCAAAAATCGTGCCCTCACACTTTTACAAATATCTCGAAAACTCTTACGAGGATCAACAGGAATTGTTGCATGTGGCCCTAGATTGTCCGTGTCCTTGTGAGTTTAAAACAATTCCGCCGGCGCTGCTGTTTTCTGGACACATTTTCTGAGGTTGATGAATGATGGCTGACGAATAATAGAATAGACTTACAGGACAGTATGAGCATTTACTGGCACACGCGTGAAGACTGTGTGGAAAGAAGTTCTTATGTGCAGCGATCCGTGGTGATTTTTTTGGATAACCTATCCTGCATACAGTGTCTTCATCAAACACAAGCGAGGCTAATTCTGCCTATGAAAAGCATGCAATCTGATATATATATATATATATATATATATATATATATATATATATATATATATATATATATATATATATATATATATATATATATATAATCGCAAATTAGGCAAAATGAAAAGTAGATGTGTTCACAGATTTTTTCAATGTCTAACAATGACATGATTATTAACAGATTACATGTCAATTGTTGACAAGTTAACCGAACAGTTACTGGGTTACAGATTATAAAGCTGGCCACAACTTTTGTAACGGACTGTAGAATTGTTTTGATTCTAGCTGTTGAAGCTTGCCAGAACTATTATGGTGATATCTTTCTTTCCTTCTGATGTGTACATCTTCTTAGCATTAAACATCCCCCTGTTTTAAATGCTCTCTTACGACATAGTGGTCGCGTGCGTGTTGGAATACATCCCGTGTCGCGTGCGTGTTGGAATACATCCTGTGGCGATGACTGCAAAAAACAAGTCAACAGTACCACAAAATGGTGGGAAGTAAAGGCCGCAGGGAGATGTC